GGGGGGGGGGGGGGGGGGGGGGGGGGGGGGGGGGGGGGGGGGGGGAACGTGGAGTGATACTGGCTCGATACGACAAATGCTTCCTGCGCCAGTGCGGGGTTCAGGAGCCGTAACGCCCAAACCAGCAGGGCAAGAAGCCGAGGCAAAATTAATCGTTCTATAAATAGAGCTATGTCGTAACCCTTTGCCTTTGATGCACTATACTTGTAGCTGCTACGGCAAGCTGAGGAGACCACCACGACGGCAAAATATTTGCCTTCTTCTCTGTCCCGTTCGTAAAAGCTCCATTGGATGCTACGAAAGACGCAAATCTGTAGCAGGTTCCGTAAAAAAATCGGTATGTCGATCTCCACGAAACCCACACGGCCTCGCCATTCTTGGTTGTATTGGAGCTGTACTCTCAAGTGCTACATTTACGTGAGTTTTGAATACATGGAGGTGCAAGGCAACAAATACAAAACATCTTCCATGTCAAGGAAACCTCTCGCCGTGAACAAGGTTACCCAGAAGGGTAACCTTCAAACGACGGATACCGCAGTACCTCATTAATCGGGCTTTCCCTAACACAACCCAAAAGGAAAACGGAATTTCCAAGTCACTGTCAGTACTTCGAATAGTGCCGGTCCGGTATAGTGCCGGTCCGGTATAGTGCCGGTGAATTTCTGGGCACATATTGGCACTAAACAGGAACCCCCACTGTAAGTGCGTTGAGCAGCGAGGTATACGCTACGCGGCGCTCGGACAAAAAATACCAACATGACAAATCACGACGGCTGTACAGTTTTCCGACTGCTGTATGCATATGTGCATACAAGTATGCATATGAGGCGCAGCAGCATAACAAGCGCAGCATTGGCATACACAACGGTTGAAAAATGCACAACAATGTAATGTTTGTATCATAGACATCTTGTGCATGACATGAACGGACCCGACGCTGGCGCACGTACTCATGCACATGCCCGATGTTTTCCTCCGAGACGTGTGTGTAGAGAGTAGAGGGGGGTCACCACTGATCGAGCGGGCATCATATCAAAGTGCTGCGAGAGAGAGACCGAGGCGAAGGACTCTCTCGATTCAGTATATAACCGCCGCGGACGCCGCGTATCTTGGAATCGATCTATTGAGCGTGGTAGCGAAAGCCGCCAGACACCTTGTGCAAGATATGGGCGGACAAGAGATGGGGGGGTGCTGCTGTAAGAGAGAGCGAGCCGAAAGATCCAGGGCTGAGAGACGGACGGCCCAAAGCCGTTCCGATGGGATCGAGGTTGTTGTTTTTATGGTGGCATGTATGTCGCAGTAAATGAGGGTATATTTAGTATCGGGAAACATCGTACTGGGGTACATGTCATATGCTATATGCCCGACAGGGCACGCGTTCCTCGCTCTTGGCTCTTGTAGTAGCAGCGGTGTGCCATCACTCCCCGCTGGCGTATTTGTTCGCCAACCACAGAGGAAAAACAGCAGTGGTGCAAAAAACCTTCGGTGCTAAAAGCCAAGTCTGTAGAATACGCGCCAAAAAAAAATTGGGGATTGTTGGGATTGTGGCCAATTCGTTCCGCAGAAAAATACCCACTCCAATCCGACTCTCAGCGTTATTGGCGCCAAACTCTGCGGGGCCCACTGGAAAAAATCGTGGTGTAGTCTAAAACGCTGAAAATTCGAAGGGAAACCCTTGTACTTACGTCGTAGTTTTCGTGAGTGGGGGCTCCGAGTCCTAACTGGCAAGCAGGGTGAGTGAATGCCTTTTGTGTCCACTCGTTCGTTTGATTTATTAGTCGTTCAAATCCGGAGGGGGGAACTGAATCCAGAGAGGGTGCACGCGGCACCTCCCGACTGCTGGTTGGTCCCCTCCTAGATTACAAAAGTTCTCCAAAAAATCTAGTTGTTCCGTAACTAAGAACTATCTCGGAGTACAACATGACTTACTCGCCTGCTGCGCTTCTTCATCAACGTCTTCACAAAGAAGCAAAACGTTTTGCCCACACCCAGCGCGTAAAGAGATGGAAGGCCACCCTCGTGTGGCGCACCAACAGGGGGCGTCGTTACGCGGCCTGCCCTAACAACGATAAGCACGACCCTGAGTCCTGCAAAGTCACGGCCAACAAGCTGGCGAGGACGGGCCGCAAAGAGCTCGACCCCTCCCTGCGGTGCGTTCTGTGCCTCGACCCCATGGTCATACTCCTTGCACGCACGAATACCAATGCTGCGGGATACCAAGGAAACTCACGGTCTTTATCGATTGTCGAATTGACCTTCCCGCTCTTCTTCCCGATGGACAGGAACTTGACCACGGGGGGGAGGGGGGGGTACTCATAGTCGTGCATGCCGTAGTCGTTAGACCATTGACCTCGCATCCCTNGGGTTCTCGACCCCGCACAACATGATCTACTCGACCACCATTATGGTTACCGCCAAAATGAAACAGAGGTAGACNATCTTGTGCTTACTTCCTTGCATACGGATGACAGCTGCGTATGACTTCAATTTATTTTCTGGTGTTTTCACTTCCTGAGACAGTTGCAAGCACTGTGTAACTGCCTCGAGGGTGCTTGACCA